ACCATTAGATTCATCAAAAGTGACATGTATAGCTTCCTCTATAACGAGAGTCCTTCGATTATAGACTCTAAAACCTCTTTTATTTTCACAATAACCCAAGAAGATTCCTTCATCAGATTTTTTTATCAAACTTTCCAAATGTTCCTTGATGTTTAAAATGAAGTATTTGCAACCAAAAACTTTGAAGTATCCAGCAATAGCCTTTTTATCAAACATTAACTCATAAGAAATTTTGTTTAAAATTGGTCTCAAGAGAACTCTATTCATAGTATAGCAAGCTGTATTTATGGATTCAGCCCAAAAATATTTTGGCAAGTTGCATTCACTTAACATGGTTCTTGCTGCCTCTTGAAGAGTTCTATTTTTTCTTTCAACAACTCCATTTTATTGAGGAGTTCTTGCAATAAAAAATTTACGTGTAATTCCGTTGTTATCACAAAATTCTAAAAAGCCACAAAAATGAAATTCTGAGCCATTGTCACTTCTGATCTTGATGATTTTGAACCCAATGAGATTTTGAACTTTTGCAAATAATGAAACAAAGTTTTTGAAGGCATTATCTTTGTGTGCAAGAAACATCATCCAAGTGTATCTAGAATAATCATCAACAATAACACAACAATATCTTTTGCCACCTAAGTTAGCAGTTTGTGTAGGACAAAATAAATCAAGATGTAAAAGTTCCAAAGGTTTTGTGGTAGAAACACATTTCTTGGGTTTAAAAGAAATTTTGACTTGTTTTTCAAATTGACAAGCATCACAGATTTTGTCCTTTTCAAACTTAATTTTTGGCAAACCTCTAACAAGTTCCTTTTTGAAAATCTCTTTTAGCAAATCCATGTTGAAATGACAAAGGCTTCTATGCCATAACCAAGGGTCTTCATTTGCTACTTTAAGACATTTAAAGCTGGAAGAATCAACATTTTTATGAACAACTACATAAATGTCATTTATTCTTATTCCTTTGAAAATAGTATTAAGTTTTGAGTCAAGAATAAGACATTCATGCTTTTTGAATAACACTAACAAATTTCTATCACACAGTTGACTAACACTTAACAAGTTATAGCTCAAATTTTTAACTAAAAGAACATTGTGAACAAAGTTTTGACCATTCTGACCAACATCACCAATTCCAACAGTTTTGGCTTTATAATTTGTGAGGACTTGCAAAATTCCTTATATTTTTCTTAAAATTCCCCTTTTATTTGAAAAATATTACTTTATAATGGCCCTACTACTCAATTACCCCACAATAAGTGTAAATGAACATAGAATTAAGGGTTTTCCCTTTTGTTTTCAAGATAGTGCGAATTAGGGTTTTTACGCCTATCCGTAGTGTGACTATCCAGTACGGAGTGTGGATCAAATTTGGTGATTAAGAGTGAGTTTTGAATGATATTAAGTGTGTGGTTAGAAGTAACAATAATAAATTAGTGAATTATAAGTTAAAACCCTAGTATACGCAATTTAAGGAAAAACGGTTCGGATCGACGGGTGTCGCGCGCTACCGATTGAACACACCACTTGAGCACTACTCTATTACCTCAATCTCCTTACTTTTATTTCAGCAAAAGTCATCCCAAAATACCCTTCAAGGCAGCCGAAATTCTTGACCCCAAGACAGAGAGAAAAGAAAAAAATTGTGAGAACCTAAGTGTGACAAGTGTTGGCCATTTAAGGCCCTTTGACCAAGCCAACTTTCTTACCTTCTTATCTTCATTTTAGCTCATTTCTTCACCATTTTTTTTCTTGTTTGGCCGAGAGCAAGGAGAGGGAGAAAGAGTGAAGAGAGTTTCTATTTCCAACCTCAAATCAAGAGTTGTAAGTGAAACCAAGAAAAACTAAACCGATTAACTTGTAGGTTGAGAGCTTGGGAAGCTTAAGGAACCAAAATTTCAAGGAGAAGTGAAGGATAACTCTAGCAAGCTTTGTTTTTTAGGTAATATGGCTGATCACTCTTTTCTTTTTCCTTAATCATGTTGGAGTTGCTTAGTAGCTTGTATTTGTGGTTGTAATGCTTATATCAAGTGATTTTGGATGGTTGGGGTGGTGAATTTGAGTTAGGGTTTGAATGATTCACTTATCATACTTGTTGTATGGGTGGTATATGATGTATATAAGTTGGTATAAGAGGTGGTAGTGATGGTTTCAAGCTAAAAATGAGATTTATACCTTGATTGTAGCAAATTTCCAGAATTGAAGTTAAGGTATACCCTGTTCTACCCGGTTCTAGTTCACTATGATGGAGGCCGAATTAGGCTTAGTACAAAACATGAAAGTTGTAGAGAATGATGTTTTATAGCTGTCTATAAGATTCAGCTCAATCTGAGTACTGTAGCATGTGAAAAGACAAAACTACCCCTAACTGCCATAGGTAGAACTTGAGGGACAGTTTTGACATTTCACCAATCTGGCCACGTCTGTTCACCCTGATGCGTAGTGACCTAGCATTTGGCCAAAACATAGAAGTTGTAGTGCTATGTCTTAGCTTTCCAACGCCCCTGAAAACGCCTCAATCGGACTTCGGTAGCCTGAGTTATTGTCGTTTAACCATAGTGCAATTCGCTAACCTGTTTGTGAGATTCTGGTTTTGTACATTAAAATTTTGACCTAGCTACACTATGAACCGGACTGAGTGGTCTTCATTAAAGTTGTAGCTCTTTATCTTAGCTTCAAAACGGTATAAATTGCATCCCAATCCGATAAGCATAGCCTCAGTTGTGTCCGTTACGCAAAACAACGTCAAATCTGTCTTTTATTTTACCACGTGAACCATCTAGGATATTTGCGTCTTCTTTTATTGAGGTATATAAGTTAGAATTTGGTCGAACTTGTACCCTTGGGAAATGAAATTTTGACTAATAGAAACACGTTTTCTCCATTTCTTCGATTCAAATGGTATTTCAAAGTATAATTGTTTCAAAGTTTCAAAGGTTTAAGAGCGAGCATGAATTGGTTGGCATTTGATAAGTATCGTGAATACTACTTAAACGAGTTGCATTTACTTGATTTTCTTGAAGCGAAACTCCTATGTTTCGAATTCTAAAGAGTTTTACATTCGTAAATGATATTTTATCACAGATTTGGACTCCAACCAAGGAGTTGGACCTGAACGTGACTTTTGAGAGGCACTAGACCTTTGGTGAGTGCTTCCAAATACCAGATTGAACTGGACACTTGTCTTCAGTACTTGACCAATATGATTTAATGATATGTCATTTGTTTTATCGGGCAAGAGTGTACTTTATCGCACTTGCCCTAATATGAGATATACTATTTATTGTTGTCATGAATTTGATATATTTGTGTATATGGTGCGCACTTCCTGGAATTCCAGAAACCCTGTGGCGAGTTACTCGAGTCGAGCCTGCAAGGGCTTGGTCGATTGGGTAACGAACCCTGGGTCTTTTGTTTTATCGAGTGGAGTTATATCTCCTCGACTAATCGGTATACTCGAGTATTACCACCAGTGTTTATTGAGGATTTTGGGCCCAGTAAGGGGTTTGGATGGTGGACGGAGTAATTTAAGTGGTGCTCTACTGGATTGGTTACTTACTTGAAAGTTGACGGAGTGTCAACTATAACTTGATCAAGCTCTGGTGATGCAATGGGAAGTTGGCTCCTGAGAGCCATCCATATCCTTATACCTTGGAATGATTAGTACTTATCGTGTTATTGTTTCGTTTTAAAAGAAAAAAACTTTACACTCGCTCATTTTGAGATTTTCTACTTGAAATGTTATTGCCCACTTTTATGAACATTTCATGCTCATTACTTTGCTATATTGACACTTGTACTTGTAAACAATGGTCGATTTGCTATTTGGAACCTCACTGGACTTTTAGCTCATTCCACGTCATTTGTTTTCCTTACAGGGGGTACGAGCGAGGCTTGAAACGTGTACAGACTAGCGTAGTCTAGTTGTTTTGAATTTTGAATTTGTACTCACACTAGTACCCGACTAGGGTTGATTGTACTCGAATTGTAAACACTTTGAAGTATTTTGGTGTGTAGAAACTTTGTATCTGGATTTGAGCATCAATGTATATATGAAGTTGGAGTGGATATGTTATGCATTTTCTATGGATGTACGTTATTTTTCTTGAGTTATGAGTGAGTGAGTCCTGGCGAGAGTTGGGCAAGCGACTCGCTAAACCCTAGGGTACGCCCTAGGGGGAGGTGGGGCTATCACAGATGGTATCTAAGCTCCTATCGACCTCGTGCCGGGAGAGGGTTCTCAGACTGTGGGGATTGGTTTGTTAAGTGTGAAATAAATGTCTATTGTTGGGGACTTTAGATATGTATGTTGGGTAGGAATCTCAAAAGTGGTTGATTTCCTCTTGAGTCTAGCTAACTCGAGTGGGGAATGATCATATTTTTGGATTCCTGTACCCGAGTACCAAAGAGTGATACATTTATGATAAGTTGATATCCCGAATAATATGAGGATAAGTTTCGATGGCGAAAACCAAGGCAAGGGGATGCGAATAGTCTGGACTTGAGATAAATTGAAGATATTAGTGAGCTTGGGGACCCTTACTTTTCACGCGTACATACTTGGTTGTACTTCGTCAAGTTTTGAGCAATACCTAGGGTTAATGTCCCATAGGATATGTGACTTGCTCTGACATGTATATAAAGTATGATTTCCAATGTGTTATGTTTTCGTTTTTTGATCTGAAAATGCTTTTATCGGCCTTTATAGTTATTTTATTTTGCTTATACTTATATAGGAAAAGAGGTATGGAGGGTAGACGGAGTCAAGGACGTGGAACTACCCGAGGACGCAGTTCTAGCCGTGGCCGTGGGGCTAGACAGGCACAAGAACCAGTACGGGAATCGAGAGAGGAGAGAGGTGAAACGGCTGAACCACAACTTGGACCCCGAGCGGAAAGGGGGGATCAGGTAGCGACGGTAATTCAGCAGATGACAAATATCCTGGCCTGTTTGGTAGAGCAACAGGGTAAGCCCCTGTGACCCAACCTAGGGATCTCGATATGGGACAAGATAGAGCCCTTGAGAGATTTCAAAAGTTTTCTCCTCCTAAGTTCCTGGGAGGATCGGACCCTGAGGGAGCCGAGAGGTGGTTAGAGACCATGATCAATATCTTTGCTACCTTAAACTATACGGAAGATAGGCAGGTGCATTTCGCTGTAATTCAATTTGAAGAACCAGCTAGGGCCTGGTGGAACGTGATTCAGGCTAAATGGGAGAGAGAGGGAACTGTCTGGACCTGGTTAAATTTTGTATGGGAGTTTAACGAGAAATATCTGCCCCCGATAGTTCAGGAGAAGAGGGAGGACGATTTTATTAAGCTTCGTCAAGGACCTCTGAGTGTATCTGAGTATGAGAATCAGTTCACGAAATTATCTAAGTTTGCTCCCGAATTGATATCTACGGAGCAAAGGAAGGTAAGGGGGTTTGTCCAGGGACTAAATGTGAAAATACAGGAGGCTTTGGCGGAGGCACAAATTAATAATTTTACGGAGGTTTTGGAGAAAGCCCAGAGAATAGAAATTGCTAGGGCACAAGTGAGGGATTTTCATGCAAAAAGGAGAGGTGCGCCTGGTGGAAGTCACGGGCAGGGACAAGGTGATCTAGATATGCCACCCTCTAAGATGAGTCGAGGGGATGGTGGTAGGCAAATTTCGGGGACATCTATGGAAATTACTGCAAGCGGAGCCTCGAGTGGAACGGGACAAGCAAGAGGTGCCTCACAAGGAAGTCAGACCTCAGCCCCTCGAGTATCTTGCGGGTACTGTGGGAAGACCAATCATACTGAAGATGATTGTTGGCGAAAGGCACGAAAATGTTTATGGTGTGGTAGTGGCGAGCACCAACTTGCAACTTGCCCCTGTAGGTCACACCTAAACCTCGAACAAGCAAATGTAGGAGGAACTAAACCAAGGGTGCCAACTAGAGTGTACGCCTTGGACCAATAGGCAGTACCTGAACCACCGGAGGTAGTAGAAGGTACGAATCGTGTTTTCCATTGTTTAGCTCAATTGTGGCTACGGTGAGACCTGGGAACTAGAAACGGATATGCAAAGAAATACCCTAAATTGTTTACGATTAAAGGTATGAATTTCGAGGTCAAAATTCTCTTAAGGGGGAGAGAGTGTGAGGACTTGCAAAATTCCTTATTTTTTCTTAAAATTTCCCTTTTATTTGAAAAATATTACTTTATAATGGCCCTACTACTCAATTACCCCACAATAAGTGTAAATGAACATAGAATTAAGGGTTTTCCCTTTTGTTTTCAAGATAGTGCGAATTAGGGTTTTTACGCCTATCCGTAGTGTGACTATCCAGTACGGAGTGTGGATCAAATTTGGTGATTAAGAGTGAGTTTTGAATGATATTAAGTGTGTGGTTAGAAGTAACAATAATAAATTAGTGAATTATAAGTTAAAACCCTAGTATACGCAATTTAAGGAAAAACGGTTCTGATCGACGGGTGTCGCGCGCTACCGATTGAACACACCACTTGAGCACTACTCTATTACCTCAATCTCCTTACTTTTAATTCAGCAAAAGTCATCCCAAAATACCCTTCAAGGCAGCCGAAATTCTTGACCCCAAGAGAGAGAGAAAAGAAAAAAATTGTGAGAACCTAAGTGTGACAAGTGTTGGCCATTTAAGGCCCTTTGACCAAGCCAACTTTCTTACCTTCTTATCTTCATTTTAGCTCATTTCTTCACCATTTTTTTTCTTGTTTGGCCGAGAGCAAGGAGATGGAGAAAGAGTGAAGAGAGTTTCTATTTCCAACCTCAAATCAAGAGTTGTGAGTGAAACCAAGAAAAACTAAACCGATTAACTTGTAGGTTGAGAGCTTGGGAAGCTTAAGGAACCAAAATTTCAAGGAGAAGTGAAGGATAACTCTAGCAAGCTTTGTTTTTGAGGTAATATGGCTGACCACTCTTTTCTTTTTCCTTAATCATGTTGGAGTTGCTTAGTAGCTTGTATTTGTGGTTGTAATGCTTATATCAAGTGATTTTGGATGGTTGGGGTGGTGAATTTGAGTTAGGGTTTGAATGATTCACTTATCATACTTGTTGTATAGGTGGTATATGATGTATATAAGTTGGTATAAGAGGTGGTAGTGATGGTTTCAAGCTAAAAATGAGATTTATACCTTGATTGTAGCAAATTTCCAGAATTGAAGTTAAGGTATACCCTATTCTACCCGGTTCTAGTTCACTATGATGGAGGCCGAATTAGGCTTAGTACAAAACATGAATGTTGTATAGAATGATGTTTTATAGCTGTCTGTAAAATTTCAACTCAATCCGAGTACTGTATCATGTGAAAAGACAAAACTACCCCTGACTGCCATATATAGAACTTGAGGGACAGTTTTGACATTTCACCAATCTCGCCGCGTCTGTTCACCCTGATTCCTAGTGACTTAGCATTTGGCCAAAACATAGAAGTTGTATTCCTATGTCTTAGCTTTCCAACGCCCCTGAAAACGTCTCAATCGGACTTCGGTAGCCTGAGTTATTGTCGTTTAACCATAGTGCGGTTAGCTAACCTGTTTGTGAGATTCTGGTTTTGTACATTAAAATTTTGACCTAGCTACACTATGAACTGGACTGAGTAGTCTTCATCAAAGTTGTATCCCGTTATCTTCGCTTCAAAACGGTATAAATTTTATCCCAATCCGATAAGCGTAACCTCAGTTGTGTCCGTTACGCAAAACAACGTCAAATCTGTCTTTTGTTTCTTGACTCAAACTTCATTTCCGCACATGTTCCTAGCTTGGTTTGGTACTTGTATGACTTTGAGCCTATTGAACGGCTATTGAAATGAGATTATTTTGTGTGTGATTTGGGACTAATTGAGGAAACGAATGAAGTCATAAATGGTTGGAAAATAGGTAAATACAAAGGGCGTGCTGCCCAAATTTACGCTCGAGGGCTAGGTAGATATACTTGCGACTCGAGTAAGACTTGAGAGCGAATACCATGTGAACCATCTAGGATATTTGCGTCTTCTTTTATTGAGGTATATAAGTTAGAATTTGGTCGAACTTGTACCCTTGGGAAATGAAATTTTGACTAATAGAAACACGTTTTCTCCATTTCTTCGATTCAAATGGTATTTCAAAGTACAATTGCTTCAAAGTTTCAAAGGTTCAAGAGCGAGCATGAATTGTTCGGCATTTGATAAGTATCGTGAATACTACTTAAACGAGTTGCATTTACTTGATTTTCTTGAAGCAAAACTCCTATGTTTCGAACTCTAAAGAGTTTTACGTTCGCAAATGATATTTTATCGCAGATTTGGACTCCAACCAAGGAGTTGAACCTGAACGTGACTTTTGAGAGGCACTAGACCTTTAGTGAGTGCTTCCAAATACCTGATTGAACTGGACACCTGTCTTCAGTACTTGACCAATGTGATTTAATGATATGTCATTTGTTTGATCGGGTAAGAGTGTACTTTATCGCACTTGCCCTAATATGAGATATACTGTTTATTGTTGCCATGAATTTGATATATTTGTGTATATGGTTCGCACTTCTTTGAATTCCAGAAACCCTGTGGTGAGTTACTCGAGTCGAGCCCGCAAGGGCTTGGTCGATTGGGTAACGAACCCTGGGTCTTTTGTTTTGTCGAGTGGAGTGATATCTCCTCAACTAATCGGTATACTCGAGTATTACTGTTATTCTTGGTTTTGATGATCACAAAAGTTCGTTTATACTGACCAAGATTGATCAGGCCTGATGGAACAAGGAAAGCATATGTTTGATTGACTCCAGTCTACGATGCTTTGGATATGGCAAACAAGATTGAAATAATATAAATGAATTTAGTCATTGTTTTGTTCCGATCAAAGATACTGTCTTTTAAGTATGTCTAGTTTGTCATTCTTGGTACTTTGAAATGTTTATCTAACCTCCTTCAAATACAAGTGTTTTTGTCTATCCAAGAATCAGGTTCAAAAATGTCATGAAATGCAAGACAACCAAAATGAGAAGCAAAAACAGGACAATCAGGTCGGACGGCCGAAAGGAAACTGTCGGACGTCCGGAAGGATCGGACGCACACCTCGGACGCATATCAACCAGATCGGACGTCCAAAAAATTCCAAGATAACTTGCTAGCTCTCGGCCTACGATCGGACGCTGTGCTGTCGGACGACAAAAATCTCATCGGACGTCCGAACTTCAACTTGGCTATTTTCGGACGATTGGTTCGGACGATGATTTGATCGTCGGACGTCCGAAAGCCCCAACGGCTAGCTGACCCTTCATCTGCCTTCTATCCGTTGGAAGCTTTAATGAAGCTCATTTCTGTTCCCCTTTAAAAACAAACTGTTCTGAACGAAGGGAGGACTTTTGCACACTTTGTTTACAAGATCTCAAGAGATATTTTAGCTAGAAAATAGTCTCCAAAGTAGATTTGTTTTAAAGTGGTGTGAATTTCTGGTGAGCATTTCTTTTGTGATTGAAAGGATCTTTAGTGTAGCTTTGTTGAGGGTTTTCTGAGTGATTGTAAAACTTCTTAGCTTGACTAAGTGAGGCTTAGGGCAAGGTGGAAGTGCTCCCTCCATTGTACATCTAGTTGATCGTCTTCCATCAAAGAGAAGTTGCTCTTCCTAGTGTGTGGTCTTCAAGTTTGAGGATAGCTTGGTAGACACTTGGTTTGATTCCCCAATTTACCTTTCTGTTTAATAAAATTCTCATTGCTTGTCTATACTTGTGTTTCTGATCAATATTGCTCTTGTCTTCTAATCTACTTGGTTGATCATTACTAGAAAAGAAGGAAATTTTCATTTAGCAAAAATTGCCTAAATCTGATTAAGATTTTGAATAACCCAATTCACCCCCCCTCTTGGTTGTCTTTGGGACTTACAATTTCGGGTAGGAATCTTTAATAAGGATGTTTACTCTTGGGACCGGCCGGCTCGAGTTGGAATTATCTTAGATGGATTCTTGAGCCCGGATTGAATCTATCATTAACTCACTAACCTCTTATGAGTTAAAACTGAAATCTAAAGTGCAGGAGGAAGAGGATGCTAGAGCAAAAAGAAATATTGCTCTAAAGACTACTCAAAGTGAAGATGATCTAGCTCACTTGGATGATGAAGATTCGGATGGTGATGATAATGATCTTGCTCTCATCACAAGAGGCTTAAAAAGAATCTTGAATAAAAGGAAGTTCAGAAAGGGAGGACCTAGCAATCAATTCCAAAATTATTCATCAAATGCAAGGAACAAAGGAAAACAAGAATTCAACAAGAAGCAAGTGGACAAATGCTATGAATGTGGACAGCCTGGACACTATGCAAACGAATGCCCCATGAAGAAAATGAAAGATGGAAAAGCTGATCGAAAGCCAAGATTCAACAACTTTCAGATTACTTGGAATGAATGCAACTCTGAAGGGGAAGTTGAAGAAGAGGAAGAATCAGCTCAAATGGCCTTCATGGCTATTGGAGATAATGAGGTAACTTCCATACACTCTCAATCTGAAAGTGATGATGAAGAAGATGATGATCTTGAATCCTTTGTTGAAAAACTGCATAATGCTTTGAAGGAATCTTATGATAAGAACAGGCAGCTAAAACAGAAAATTGCTTTTCTCATTCATGAAAATGCATGTCTCCTTCAACAAAATAAACAACTAAAAACTGACAATGAATGTCTTGTAAGAGCCGGATTTGATGTTCAGAATGAGCTTGATAGAAAGACAAATATTTGTAAAATGCTGAAGGAAAGACATGGTGATTTAAAAAGGAGAATGGACAACTTGGATGAGACTTTGAAAGCAAGAAAGCAGGAGTTTATCAAAAGGAACATGTCACCTACACATCCTACTATTTTTCAAAGAACATTTGCACACAACAAAAATGCACATGGTTTCACAACATATAGAAAATGTGGATTAACATATGTCAAACCAGTACATGTTGAGGACTCTTCCATTATGTGTG